GGGCCCCCGGGCCTGCCCCAAGCACGGCGGAAGGAATGGGGCCTGCGCACCACCTGCGTCTGACGACAGCCCAGGCCCCGGCCCTCCGGCTGGCAGGAAAGCCACCTGGCTCAGGCCCGCGTGCGGCTCTGGCGACGCTGTGTGCTCCTGTGCACCCGGGGGGCTGCCTCCCGAGACGGGCAGCCTCCTCGTCACCTCCACGGCTCCTGGCTGAGCCCGGCCTGGACCGGGCTCTCTGTCCACCAGTGGCTCACAGCGCATGAGCTCAGGTGCCAGGAATGCGCGGCACAGTGCGGCACCATCTGGTTCCGATTACCCACGCTCGGCTCGGCCGCGGCAACCTCGGCCGGGGCTCTGCTCCCAGCGCCTGCCGGGGGGGTGGGAGGTGGACTTGGGTTCATTAGAGGCCGCAGCAGGAGCATGCGAGGAGGCACATCTGTGCCCACGTGGCTGTCGGGTGAGGCCGGCAGCACCCACAGGTGGGTGAGGATGAGAGGCAGCCTCACCTGCTCTCGGGTGTCAGGGACACATAGCTGGCCCCGGGGGGGCACCCCTGGGCCTTCTTCCCGGGAGGCCCGCATCATAGAAGCCCACCCTCCAAGGCCCAGTGATGCTGGGTGCTGTGCATACTGTGGGCCTACGCCCTCTCCCCTGGGGTCGTCCTCTCCCCTCCCACAACCCCTCTTGGCACACAGAGGTGCTCGGCGCGGGTGGGGACTCTCTGCCTTTGATGTGGGCTCTGAGGGAGGCCCTGCCTAGCACGCCCCCCTGCCCCAACACGCACCCCCTTCCATGTGGCAAGGCCTGGTCCCCCTTCTGCTTTAACTTTTCAATTCATTAATACCTGGTCCCCCTTCTGCTTCAACTTTTCAATCCATCAGTACAGTAAAAGTTCATCTCTGGACTGGGACACGCCCCATAAATTAAGTCTTAATTTCCAGCAGCTGCATCCCGAACCTTGCCAGGAGAGACCAGGCAGGTCTGGGCTGGGGTGCAGGAAGGCCCTTCCCTGGGGGCCTGGGTGGGGGTGCAGCCCTGGGTCCTCAGCCCTTTGCAAAGTCGGCCTGAGAAGGGCCAAGCCAACAGCGGGATGAATTCTGGGCTCATGGGGGCATCGCCGCAGGGTCTCCGCCAGGCTGGAGGGGTGAGGGCGCATGGGAGAGCCCCTCCAGCCCTCCTAACTGGGCTCAGCACCTGAGGCTGGGGAGACCCTTCTTCCTGGGTGTGGTTGGAGGCGTGGGAAGCTCCGCCCCTCACCGCAGGCGTTGGTGGGCTTCCCTGATGACTGAAGGGTGGCGGGGCAGGCCGGCTTCACTCCGAGGCCACTAGGGGACAGGCGGTGCCCGGGAGGCCCGGCATGCACCCTGCTCCTGTGTGACACACCGCCGTGCCCCGCCCCACACTGCCCCCTCCTGCTCAGACGCTGCCCGCAGGGAACTCACGCTGTTCTGGCCTCTGCGCCCCCGCGCTGCTCCACCTCACGCACACCCGTGGGCCCGCGAGGCTCCATTCACTGGGCACCCCTTCCCTCCTCTCTCTCCTCCTGGCCAGGACCCCCGTCCCCACTGCCCTCTGCCTGCTGTCCTCGCTCGCTCACTCTCAGGAGGACCTCATGACCACACCCCCCGCTGCACCCTGGGGTCAGGGTGTCCATCGGCATGGAGGCTGCTCGGTAGCACCCCACCCCTTCAGCTAGTCCCAAACTTCACAGGGGCCACTCCTCCCCTCCCCAGTCCTCTCAGAGCTCTGCAGTGCCCACAAGGGGAGGCCTGGCAGGCCACAGGTGGGCTCCAGCCCTGGCATCAGCAGCCTGACTGGGCGAGGCCACGCACTGCCCCGTGTGTGGCTTCCTATCAGGTGGGGCACGCCTGGACCACAGAGGAGCCCCACAGAGGAGGACAGCCCAGCCCTGGGCCCTGTCCTCAGTGGCCTGGGGCTGAGAGCCCAAGTGGAGCAGGTGCTGGCCTCCTGCTGGCCTTGCCAGTCACCCCGAGGGACACGCAGCCCCCAGATCCGCGTGCGTTCACAGAGCTGTCCGAAGATGTCTCCGCCTGCCGAGTCTCAGTTTCCTGCAGCTCCTGGCCCACCCCCAGAAGCCCACGGACTGCAGCTCTAGGCCCAAAGCAGGATGGGGTGAGAGGGCTTCGGGACAGGTCCCCACCCACCTCTGCTCGGTGACGCCTCTGGGCACTGGAGGCCATTCAGTGGCACCTGTGCCCCTCCCGCTAATCAAAGCCTGGTTCTCACCCAGGGCTGCTCCCTTCCCTGGCTGCAGGCGTCCGGGCTGTGCAGGGCCTGGAAGAGGCTCCCACCCCTGCTGGCTTGGACCCCAACCTCCTGTCCCTATGGCTGAGGGTGCAGGCCGGGCCACCCTGCACTGGACACCAGGGCCATGGGCCCAGGCCTGGACAGCTGGAAAGGTCTCCACTGAACCCTCTTGGCTGAGGTCTCGCACCCTCCCTGGGGGGCTTCCTTCAGGTCGGCACAGACCACCCCGGGGGGCTGAGGCTCGCGCACTCTTCCGCATGGGTTCTTTTTCTTTTTTTTTTTGATTAATCAGTTCCTTACTGACCAGATTCTTCTGGGTTTTCACAAAGGGGTTTGAGTGTTCCCGGACTCTACGTGCCTTTCTTGAGATGGACAAGACGTGACTGCCGTGAACCCGGGGTCTGGGAGAACCGGCGCGCCGAGGCCCACGCCCCCTTCCTCCTTGCGCCGGCCGCGGACAGGCCCGCCCGCACCCGCCTCCGGGTGATTAATTAGCCGGGGATCTGCAACGGCTCCTCTTCATGCCTAAATATTGTTTCAGCCTATCAGACTGTTAGTGCAGAGCAGGATAAATGAGGCCCGGGCCCGGCGCACTGACCTGCAGGGCCTGCTGCCCGTCCAGGCTCCAGACAGCCAGCGCTTTCCCCGCTGAGCCTGAGACGCCCCTGGCCTTCTGGGAGTCGAAGTCGAGGCCCATGATGGGCTCCTCGTGGCAGGCGACGCGACTGCACACCTTCCGCTCGGAGACGTCCCACAGGGCCACCGATCCGTCCTCGTAGCCGGCCAGGAGGAGCAGGTGGGGGCTGCAGTCGGCCTGTGGGGACAGCGGAGCCGTCAGCAACTGGAAGGGCCCTGACGCCTGTGAGTTTGGGGGAGAAGGAGAAGGGGTTCTGGAGACCAGCTGCCTCCCTGCCTGGCCCTGGGGTGGCGAGGGTGGAGATGGGTCAGGGGTGCAGCCAGCCTGGGAGTACCTGTCCCTGGCACCCCCCTGCCCACCCTCTTGATGGCTGATCCCATCAGCATGGGACTGATGGAGAACCCCGAAGAACAGGCTCAGAGAGCCCCAAAGCAGCCCAGCGAGCCCAGGCCCTCAAGCAAGCTGGGTCAGTCCTCACCAGCCCCGAGACCCGGCACATGCCCACACCACGGCCTGCCCAGAGGAGCCTCCTCTTCCTCCCTCCCCTTCCCATACCCCTGCCCCGTCCTCCTGCCTCCTCTCCCCAAGCCTGAGACTCACGGCCGTCGGGGCTGGGGCTGGTCACCTGTCTAGAGCCGCCAGCCCGGGGGGATCGCGATTGCTCCCCGTGAAAAATGAACTGTCTGTGCTTTGTCAACGCGGCTGCGGGAGCCCCGCCCCTGGAAGCCTCCTCTTCCTCCCTCCCCTTCCCATACCCCTGCCCCGTCCTCCTGCCTCCTCTCCCCAAGCCTGAGACTCACGGCCGTCGGGGCTGGGGCTGGTCACCTGTCTAGAGCCGCCAGCCCGGGGGGATCGCGATTGCTCCCCGTGAAAAATGAACTGTCTGTGCTTTGTCAACGCGGCTGCGGGAGCCCCGCCCCTGGAAGCCGGCTGAGCTGCGCTCTCGCAGCGGATCCAGGGTGATGGATGAGGGCGCGGGTCAGAGGGCTCCGCGCCCTGGGCAGGCGCCTCGTCCATTTAGCCTCTGAGACGACCGCAGGAGAAGGGCCCGGCAGGGCTCCGTGTCAGCCTGGGGGACGGGGCCGTCAGTCCCTGGCACCGAGTGGTGGCTGCAAAGAAATCCCACGTGCCCAGGCAAGGAGGCCCGACTTAGCGATGGTACTGGGCGTGTGTCCACTGAGGGGACGGGGCATCCTCCCACAGCTCCAGGTCCTGGAGAGCCTCCTAGCAGTAGACGCCAGTGCTGTTGTGGCCAGGGGGACTTTGGTGACCACCCCTTCAATGCTGCCCTGCCTTCCTTGAAGTCACCCCGCTACTCCTCCTTGCCACACCCCACCCAGCCCTCCGCTGAGACCTGGAGGTGAGAACACACCCTATGTCTCCTCCTGTCCTGTGGCTCAGACCCAGAGGGCTGGGGGGGTTCCTGGAAAGTCCCCGGCTCCTGCGGGGATGGCTGGAGGGGCCCCTCCCCGAGGGCTGTGCTCATGGCTCTGCCTCAAGCTTGATTTCAATCCTGATCCTTACAGAACAGTTCTTCTAGCAACTGGTCTCTTTGAAGGGCAGGATAAAAATATTCCTGAGTGTTTCAGGGGAAAAAAAGGATGGGACCAGCAGTTAGCGTAATGGCTATGTTGCTGGACTCCCACGTAGTTGACCGCGGTTCGCATCCCGGACCCGGTGGCTTAAACTCACACCGAGTGCATGTGCGTGTGTGCCCAAGATCCCGAGAGGAGAACGGAGGAGAAGGGATTGCAGCGTGACCATCCCCCCTGGGGGGGTGATTTCTCGCTGTCTCTGTCTCTGTCAGAGAGCACGCGCCCTATAGTAAAACCTCTCCAATAAATGAATGAATGAATGAATTTAAAAAAATAAAAAAGGCCACATCGGGTCACTTGGACCCTGACTACTGCCATGAGCCGGCAACCCAGCGCAGGTGTGAGGAGAAACGCGGGCAGCGTTGGGAGTTAGCGGGGCTTCTGAGCTGAGCGGCTCGGGCCGGATCGGTCGGTCACAGCGACAGAGCCGCGACTCGCCCTTCCGTCAGTATAGGAATCGCCCTAACAAGTCTATACATCCCTTTCTGCAGGTTTTTTTCCTGCTGGAATTTTTACGTGATTGTGCAATGACCCACGTTTCCCAGGGAGCTGACTGGGAGCGAGTATAGCCTCCGACGTCCTGCCCCGGGACCTGCGAGCACCGTGGTCACACCAGGGCATGACAGCCTTGGTGCCGGGGGTGGGAGGAGGGAGAGCTTTTCTCCCCATGGAGTGAGTGACCAGCCCTGAGGAGCCTTCCCGTGTCATGGCCAATGACCCAGGCTCTGCCAGGTCCCCAAGGCTCAGCAGGCAAGGGACCAAGAGCTTCGTCACCCCAGGTGAGCCTCTCGGAAGGGCCTGCCTCCTCAGACAGCCCCCCCCACCGCCCCTGGGCTTCTCTCCCAAGTGCCAGGAGCAACACCTGAGGATCAGCCTATCAGAGCTCCTGCATTTCAGCTCCATCAGTCCCAGTCAAGACACTGCAGGGACGCCAACTGCAGGAGGGGACAGCGATCTTTCTGGCTGGGGAAGGGAAAACCCCGTTGCAGATCTCAGGGGTGCTGTGCCGATGGGTCGTGCCGGCAGACACCTCTCAAATGCATGACCAGTCTGGTCTAATTCTCAGGGTGAGTTCAAGGGGACAGCCAGGCAGAGGCAGGGATCCCTTCCTCCTGGTTGAGGGCCCGGCACGGGGCAGCTCTGGGCACTAAACAGAACGAGGAAGGTGCCTGGGGTTGCCCACCGCTCCCTGAGCCGGGGCTGCTCAATGACCCGCCTCCCGCGGGCTCCCACACTGGGAAAGCGCTCAGGGCTGCGTCTCTGGGAGTCTCTGCGAGAGGACACGCCGCCCACCTGCTTTGCTGCCCCAGAGAGGAGGGAGCACCTCGAGGAGGAACGTTCTGAGCCAGAGCTGACCCGGGGAGGGGGCTGCCGGGGAGGAGGCCAAGCCTCGAGGAGGGCGGGCAGGAAGAGCCCTCTAAGGCCTTGCAAGGCTCTCTAAGGCCATGGCTGGCTCTGACCCACACCTGGGCCCCTGCCTCTGCTGCTCGCTCTCTAAAGAGATGCCTCCGGACCCCTCTAGCCAGAAAGAACAGCCGAGAAGCAGGAAACGGCTATGGGTCACGAATCCTGCGCGTGGCCACGAGAAAAGTCATCGTGTTAAGCCCACTGCTGCCTCTAAGAGGCAAAGAAGTAACAAAAATTAATCCCAGGCAAGGAGAGGGCCGCGCAGCCTTGCCGCAGTTAGTCAGCACGTCCCTCCCAGCCCTCGGCAGGGCCTGCGGATGCAGGCACCTCCTCTCCTGGGAGTGGGTCGGGCAGCTGACCCACTGCGGGAGGGTCTGGGCCCGGCTCCCACACTGCAGGAGGGTCGGGGCCCAGCTCCCACACTGCAGGAGGGTCGGGGCCCAGCTCACACACTGTGGGAGGGCCGGGGCATGGCTGACTCAGCACAGGAGGGTCCAGGCACAGTTCACCCACCGCGGGAGGATCGGGGCATGGGTGATCCACTGCAGGAGAGCCAGGGCACGGCTCACCCACTGCAGGAGGGCCTGGGCACGGCTCACCCACTGCAGGAGGGTCGAGGCAAGGCTGATCCACAATAGGAGAGTCAAGGCACAACTGACCCAGTGCAGGAAGGCCAGGGCATGGCTGACCCCGTGCAGGAGGGTTGGGGCAAGGCTGATTTAGTGCAGGGGAGTCGGGGCACGGCTGACCCAGTGCAGGAGGGTCCTGGCATGGTTCACCAACTGCAGGAGGGTCGGGGCACGGCTGACTCAGTGCAGGAGGGCCGGGGCACGGCTGACCCCGTGCAGGAGGGTCGGGGTAAGGCTGATTTAGTGCAGGAGGGTCGGGGCACAGCTGACTCAGTGCAGGAGGGTCCTGGCACGGTTCACCAACTGCAGGAGGGTCGGGGCACGGCTGACTCAGTGCAGGAGGGCCGGGGCACGGCTGGCCCAGTGCAGAGGGCACCCTGTGTGGTAAAAGGGCCAGGGCCTGCAGAGGACAGGCATGCACTGCTGCCACCACCAGGCCACTCCTAGGGCAGTTCATAGGCGGCCCTCTTTCCCTACTGGCAGCAGCAGCCATGGCAGCACAGGGGAAACGGAGGCCCGGCCAGGACACGGAGGCCAGGAAGGGGTGCCTATGCATTCTGTCAAGGGGGCGTTGCCCAAATGGCTTGGCTGTAAATCAAAACCTGAAAGG